ACTGAGTTAGTTCTATGAATTTTAAGATATTTTGAAGGGAAAAAATCAAGTGAAAGTAAAATGATGCTGTACTAAATGTGTGGATTTATGTGTCTTAGGGCATTTAACTTTCACAATAAAGGTTTTGCTGTCTATATTATGAAGGTTTACTAGCTATCACTGGATTTTTTTCTGCAAATTTAATAACTTTTGTACTTTGGTGTGCTCATATATACTTTTTTGAGGGACACATACTCCTGCTAGAATGGAATAGTCACAGTACAAAGCTGGAAGATTTGTGCAAAATACATGATAATTAAAATAAAAATCTTATCAAATGAGTTCTGTGAAGAATTTTTGGCAACTCTTACTTGCATTGTTTAGATGGTTTGAACCATGGATTGTAGGTCATAGCTATTGTCCAGACAGAAGTCTCAGGTCATTGTAACTCTAGAAACAGCAATATATGTGCATTTGGTCTGTATATGCAGAGTGCCTGTTTGTCTAATTGGTGACTTCCAGTGATCAGGTTGGCCAGATTTTCCTGGATATTTTACTCCATTAGCTTATGTTTAGGAATCCTGAAGGATCATCCAGAATTATCTTTTTTTTGTGACTGGAAAAAATTTCCAGGTGCAAAACGAAGACAGGCATTTCATTGGGGATTGACAGGAAGGAAAGACTTACAGCTCTCTTAGGCTTCCTCTAATTTTGAGCTGAGTGTCAGAGCACTGAGAAGCAGAAGGTTGAAAAATGTATTTATGATCTTAGCTATGAGTCATTTTTCCCAGGTGAACATCTTTTTTTCAAGATTCAGTTCTCCAATGGTAAAATAGTCATTCTCATGTAGTATTATTTGAAATCTGGTGACGGGCAAAAAGATTGGGTGATTTATTTTTATTTTTAAAGTAACTCTCACTCCAAAGAGCCGATTTTCTTTTATCCCTATTCTGATATTCTAGAAGGATGTGAAAACTTAGAGCAACTTGGTTATTTAGCAGCAAGTATGCAAAAGTAAGATCCTTTTGAAAAGTACTGGCATCATTCTCCACCTTCTACTGTTCTAATGAAAACAATTTACATATTGTTTACCTCAGAAAAGACAGATAATTTCTTTAAATGCTTTCATAAACTCTCGTCCTTTTAAAAAGAATTTTCATTCCAAATAAAGAAGCATGTGCAAATTCAGTATTCTGAGTATAGTTAATTGCTAAGGTAATTTATCCTGACTAGCTAATTGCAGTGTCTTCATACTTCAGGTTTTGGTTGGTTTGGGTGTTGGTTTTTTTATCATGTTTGGTTGATTTTGTTGTGTTTTGTTTGGGTTTAATAATATTCTAGACTGAAAGGACAGTTGCAGTAGAAATGCATCATCTGCACAATGCAGTGCTGCTTTCCTTTGTTCCCACTTCAATGGTATGTTATCTTATCAATCATGTTCTGGGAAGAGATTTGTCTCCTCCCTCATTCTGAAGAATGAATAAGGCTTTTGTAGGAGTAAAGACTAATAGGCCCGTCGCTCAGGACAAAACCTCCTGTCATACAATTTTACACTTGCAGGCTTTTTACAATGATGTATATTTTTGCTTTCATAATACCCTGTAAGTAAAGTACAGCTGGTACCTCAACTCCAGCTGAGCTGCAGAGGTCTTTAATCTGAATTTCCATCCATGGTGCTGCAGGTGATGCTAGAGGCATTGGCCAGAAAGGAGGACAAGACACTTATCGTCACAGGGAGGCAGTGGAAATAAGGACAGAATTTCTTTTGCTAGGGAATGCGGAAGATACTGGGGGATAAAATTTGTTTGTTTTTGTTTTGCAAGGTAGGGAAATAGTATTCTTCCAATACTTTGTACAAAGTGCATGCATTGGACTGTAGCCTTCCTTCAGTCAGCTCTCATCTTCCACTTGTTCTTTTAAGACAACTGCTTTTCAAATTGTTCTATGGAATTAGTCCTTTTCACTTACAGTAGACTCACATTTTGTTTATGATCTGCCTATCCAGGATTCAGTGTGAGACAAGAGCCTTAGGTCTGTAAATTATTTGGAACAGGATGGTTTCTTCATGCACCTTATGAAGAAACTTGTGTTCCTAGGCAGTCTCAGTTAAGAGTCAGGTTATTCTGGTAACACTTAGCAACTATGGTAGAAGAAGAAAAACCTATGGTAGAAGAAGAAAAACTGTTCAGGAATAGCTAATCAGAATGGATAGGATTATAACAGGGAAAGGTTTCACAATATGTTCACATAAAGATGTAAAAAGAGAAAGGAATAAACAGGAGATTAAAATCAACTTACATAAGTAGCTATCTGAAAAAAATCAACTCTTATTAAGAAAAACTTTAAATACTTATTTTCTTCTGAACTTAAGAACTATAAAAAAAACAAGCAAAGAGAAGGAAAGAAACATACCAGTCTTGAGGCTAGGGAGGGATTTCTTTGTTCCCATTACTCCAATCCATTTAGGTGAGAAATATGTCCTCATTTCTTTGAATTAAAAAATTATGGACAATGAATGATATATTTAAATCCAGAAAAGGACAATTACTTCTTCCTAAGATCCGAGATATTGTATTGTCAAACCCTTAACTAAAATCTTTTTCAGAGTATTTTCTTCATTGACAATATTTCAAATCACCATGATGAAATTCAAAGTCCCTGCCAGGAAGCAACTAGGATAGATACTGTCTCTGTAAATTTTCTATTAGCTTGCAGAAAAACCATGTCTTATGCCCTGTCTTTCTGTACCAAAACTGAAAGAGGTGTTCTTATTA